TTTTTAAAAAAATGAGTTTTTATTAGATTCATGTATATTTTGACATGATTGACATTTTTCAATTATAAATGAAAGTCGATTTGTATAATGAAAAATAGAGATAATGTAGAAGAAAAATTACACGAGGCCAAGCACATCACGAGATTACCCAATAGTCGCTTGTTACTTTTAACCAATCAAAATCGTGAAATTTAGTTAATCCGGATCAGTCCGAAAATCAAAACAAATGATTAAACTCAATTAATGGGCCTTTAGTTAGGGTGGAGGGCACGAAGGTCTTGGCATGCATGCCTTTAAGCTATAGGGCATGCCCTTCTCATATGATTAATAAAAAGACGCAATATATAACGATCTCAATTAACCAATCAGAATATACGATTAAATATAAGAAATTATAATAAATATTGTATTATAACGATAATTAGTAACAAATTACCTATGCTATTGCAATTAAGATATTAAACTAAAATATATAAACTGACTTTGATTAATCAATGTTCTTTATACTTGAAATTGTACTTCCTTACTAAGTTTTTATAAGTTTTTACTTCAAAGATCAATTATATACCTTATCGGATCTTTAAATGCTTTTACTAATGACTCTACAACCTATTAGTTGCTACTGGAATCCTGCCATTTTATATTCAATCTAGATAATATGATCTGACCCAGAAGGTTGAAAAAGCAATGTTAGACTCAAAGATCGCTCGGATTGGTTAGTATTAACTGCTTATATATAATGATAACATTGATTACTTGGACCCTATCTACGGGGGCATGCCCGGGCACGAAGGGGCATGCCTCCAGTTCAAGGCATGCCCCCCTGGACATGCCTAAAAATTTTCCCGTGCCCTCCACCCTACTTTTAGTTGACGATACTCCATATATCTATTTAAAAAATTTATATAGATTAAACAGAAATTAGGTGATAAATGTCACTTCCCTTAATTATATTTATAATCTACCTCTTTTATGATTAATGTTATTAACCTTATAAATTTCACTAAGACACCTTCTACAATTGATGTAATATTTATAATATCCTCGAATGAGATACACTCTAATCTACGGTTAGATAGATTAGATAGATTAGATAGATTAGATGATTATGCGTTTCCTTAATCAAATTGTCAATATTTTGATTTTCGCAATCGAACATAACTTATTATTCTCATATGTAAGTTTTTTTTCATTGTGTTGCACAGTTTTTATTAGATCCAATTATTCTATATTGGTCCGCAGTACGCACATTTGTTTGTCTCCCATGTTTAACTTTTATTGTTGAAAGTTAAATTGTCTAATTAAATTGTCTAAGAGAAACATTAATACTCGAAGCGTAATAAATTATAAATTTAAAAGAATATTAATGCACATGAATCAAATGGATGAGGTAATTAAAAGTAAGAATTGAATGCATTTATTTCTTTAGTCATACCAGTATATCAAATATGTCATTTTCCATGTAAGACGTCTTCCACGTAGACCCTATTGGTTTTGCGAGTGATACAAACCTAAAAAAGGAAATTTAACTTAAAAATAAAGATTCAGGGATTTGAACCCGGGTAAATTAAATTACTGTTACGTATATGATTACCCAATATAGATATGTATAGTAAATTACCTGGATAACCCGAGTAGAGATTTTCTCAACGGGTCCAATCTATTTTGTTTGAATATTAAGATCGAGTTAGGGTTAGAGTCGGTTAGGATTTGTGAGTTCTATATGTAAAATTCCTTACCTGATATTTTTTAATCAGTGCTAAAAGGTAGATTTAAACACTCATTTTCTTGTATTTTCATTTTTTTTTTTTTTTTTTTTTTTTTTTTTTTTTTTTTTTTTTTTTTTTTTTTTTTTTTTTTTTTTTTTTTTTTTTTTCTTCTTCGCTTTACGCTGATCCGGGATAAACAAGATTTACGCACTCTACATATAATTGCTATCTTCCCTTTTTTGGGTTTGTATCACTCGCACTTGAAAGTTTTTTTTTTTTTTTTATAATACAGCTAGTACGTTCATGACGCTTAAATTTTCTATCTTATGCTGAAAAAGTTAAATTCGGTCATTCGGTAGTTTAACCACCCTAGCTTTACGTTCCAACCTAAATCAAATTCATGATCAGGTGTAACTAAAAATGCACACTAACAGCGGAATTTTTTTTCAGGATAGTAACGTTACCATCCCCCGATAAAGTAATATACAGTAATACTGTAACTTTAAGGTGGTGAATTTGCCCCAACTGGATTATAACTGTTTAATTGATTTATAAGTTTGGGGTTATTTTATTTTAAGGGTTAATACGATTATGATAAACAGTTAATACGATTAAACAGTTAATACGATCAAACAGTTAATACTATTAAACATTTAAACGATTAAAAGAAATTCTAAGTGGTTCCAATCCCTACTTTCATAGAGTAATTTTATAACCTCAATAGTTTCGTCAATCGTCAATCGATCAATAGTGTTCATAAATCTCTAAGGTTTCATCAGACGAATGATTTGGCGAAATTATTTCGCCATTGCGAAGATAGCTTCGTCAGGCATCATGCATTCACATGTGCATTTATACTGGGTAAATTTAGAGCCGATGTAAAATTAAGTTATAATTTAATATAAAATTTATTGGTACTATTTTATACAGACTCCTTAAAAAAGTAATACTTTAATTATTGTTACTGTATTTCTTTCGTTTTTTCCATAATTTCCAAATACAATATTCACGATTTATTCGAACAAATAACTTTATTTACAGAGATCATGAAATAAAACGCAAGTGGTTCTTGTTTATGATATTAGCAAAGATTAAGTTAAGATTGGTACTATATTTATTTATGTAGAATTAACGATTCCTAATGCTATTATTATAATAAGAACGTTAGAACTAATTATGATAACAATTAATACCGATACAATAAATCATTGCTGTTATTATTAAAATTAACTACAGTAATATACGACTATAAATATTTGCGTTACATAACTGAGAACGATTATTCAATACGATTTTCTAAAACTTAACCTTATTTAATCATCTCAAATTGAGAAATATGAAAATAGGAGAATCCGAGAATTACGAGAATCAGAAGACCTATAAAAAATATAAAAGTTATGTGTGTGCATATCAAAGAATTAAAGAAACATAACAAAGAGAGGAAGATTTTAATAAGATTTTTAACATCCTGTCTACTAAAAAAGGAGCAGTTAGTATCAACTTAAAATTTGGAAATATTAACCAAATAAAATTATTCGTCTTCAATTTATGTACAAAATTATACAAATTGTGGCGAAGTTAGCCTGCAAAGATTAGATATAAGAACAAAGCATTAATAATAATCCGAATATGATGCTTGGCACAGGAAATGCACACGTGGAGATTTCTTTGTTAGCTGATCGTCATTTCTTTGTATACTAATACGTATTAGTCGAAACAAATAATTATTTATATTTTATATTATAATTCCACGTGTCAAATATTAAAAATTTATGATCATACTAATACAGTTTAATCATCTAAAAAAATCTTATAGGTAACATAATTTTTGGTATTCCCCAAACTTGCATAGGTACACAAGCAAATAAACTAGCCAAACCGCAAATTATTTAAAATGCTGATTGGAACAATTTATGTTGCTTCTTTCTTTGGCCTAGATATAACTCTGCGAGGTTATATGAAGACATTCATTTATAATCAATAATAACCCTTTATTCATTTTTTTTCTCGACATTGTTATATATGTATAGTTGTATATATACATAGTTATATATAGGTTCCTTTTATACGCTTATTTTTTTTTTTTTTGTTCTTATCTTTTTTTATTTTTTATATATTATATTTATATCCCTTTTTATTCATATAAGCCATCCATTTTCACGGTCCTACCTTTTTTTCGTTTACAAAAAACCGAACAATCCTTCTTTTTATTTTAATAACAAAGAAAAAAAAAAAAAATATGACATTGATTGAAAACGGTTCACAAAATACATTTAACAATCTTAATGGATGGAATGTAGTTATTTCCTGGAGAGGCGAAAATTTTGAATTAAATCATGACCAAATTGGTTACTTAACAAATATGTATGCTTCGGAAATCTTTCCGAGGTTATATATGGGCAGGTTAGTAAAAATACATTCTTTTTAAGCTTGTCACTAATATAATAAATATAACGACAGTGTTGTACCTTCAAAATAATGGACTTATAGAACAATTGTAATGGACCTTAATTGGACCATTCCAAATAATTGTTCAAATAGTATATTATATGAGTGTCGCCAAGAGAAAATGGGATTTCGGACTTGAGAAAGTTTATTTCTTGCCAGATTCGATCACTATAAAATTTAGTCCGGTAAATTATAACTTAAGCACGAAATCCTATTTTGCCTTGGCATCACTCATATGAATTATTATTGCATCCGATCAAATTACAGTTTAATAAAATTATTACAAAATTTTTTAGAACTTTAAACGAATATATCTTAACAACCACTTAATTAAATTCTATAAATATATAGAATTACAATAAAAAATTTTTTTATTGAAATTAGGTAGTTGTCAAGAAATCTTTGCTCAGAGCTTTAAAGAATTCAAAATGGATATTCTATAAACTTGTAGAATCCAAACAAAAAATTTTATTATTACTGATTTGATGGTTGTCGAGAACAATTAATTAGACATTTCAATTGATAACACTGTACATATAACAAACATAAAAATCAATAATAAATATTAAAAAACTTTTTATTTTCTCTATTTTATAATAATAGCGAACTGGCAGCAACTGATAGAGCATGGTTAATGGATCATAAAATTACTCATATTCTCTCAGTCACAGATCACGCTCCTTTACAGTTTCCAGAGGTTAGTCTTGAATCTGAAATTTCTAAAGAATGATTACATATTTTTAACATGTGAAACTTATTCAAATTATTATGTAGTCTTATAAGTATAAAACAATTCCAATACGAGACTATGAGAATACAAATATAATGGAATATTTTGATGCTTCTTATCATTTTATTAATCAAGCGTTACAGGAGAATGGGAATGTCCTTGTTCATTGGTATGTTTTTTTTTTTTTTTATGTATGATTTTATACTTGAATATATGAATTTATTTATTTATTTATTATGTTATGTTTGAATAGCCAACGTGGAATATCACGATGCGCCACAAGTAAGTTATCTCTTTATTTTTTCCGTTTTTTTTTTTTTTTTTGTGATTTTTATATACACTTTTATTTATCTAACTCCCGATTATTCACTTATAGTCGTCATTGCGTATATAATGAGAAACAGTCAAATGGCTTCCACTGCTGCTTATGACTTTGTAAAGTCAAAACGTCCTATTATTTGGTATGTCTTGTTTTATCTACATCTCTAGCATTAATGACTCCTTTATTAACACATGTTTTATAGCCCAAACCAAGGTTTTCTTCATCAACTAAAATTATATGAATCAATGGGTTGTCAAGTTGCCAAAACAAATCCAAAATATTGGAGTTATTTGGTTAAAAAATGGAGCAGATCTATTTTGCTGTACGTATCACCTTCAACCAATTTTAAATTTAAACTATTTCGAGCTATTTTTAACATTACCTATTATTGCTTTACTTTCCAGTCCGGTAAATGTTTAAATTTACTAAAAAAATTTCTTTGTATAGTTAATCCAAACCTTAAAAGCCTAGACAATTTTGTCTTCCAAAAAACTAGATGTTTATATAAACTCCTCTCGTTTCAGACTCTCGTTTCTTATTTGTATATATTATATAATTTCCCTATCAATTCCACATATACATTAAAATGACTTATCTGTCGTGGATTCATGTTATTTACGTGTCCATCCGACTTTTAAATATCATTAACAATTTTTAAAATTCGAAAAAAAAAACAAAAAAAAAATATATTTTTTTTCTAAAAATTTCTATTTCTCAATTCTACAATGAATTCTTGTCTTTCTTTTTTTTCTCTATACATATATTTTTCCATCTTTTATACATGTATGTCTTATATATGGGTTTAACTTTATATTTGTTTATATTAGCATTTTTACTGAAATTTTTAGCATTTGTTTTATAATATTTTTCACGTGCATTTCTTATCCTATATTCTTTTTCTCACTTTCTTTAAAAATTTTCTCGTACCTCTTTCGTTGATTTGCAAAGAAAATTTCACTCCTACTTTACATAACATACATGTATGTATAATATAGAATTATCATCAATTTTTTTTATTTTTTTATTTTTTTACATATATATACACACTTAGGCTTTTAAAGGTTTGATGTCTTGTACTTTGTCCTCAATCATTATTTCTTTGTTCAATGTAAATTTTGCTTTCTTGAAGAAATAAAAATGTACGAACATTTTTTCTCATATTTTTTTTTTTCATATAAGATAATGATTTCTGGGAATTTCATAATTTGATTTACAGGTATATATATTATATTATTTTATGCAAGTAATTATTGGATGGTTTCGCATCCAATATTTTCTTAAATGATTATCATGTGATCCTTATCGGTTAAAGATGACTTTTAGATTAATATCATCCCCCGAAAATTAAACAAGCCAATCATATCATGACCAATGATATTCGTCAAATACTCTGTGACATGATTGTGTTTAAAATCTCCCCTTCATACCTGAGTCAAAAACATTAAAGTTAACCAAAGATCAACTAGAAATGACCTTAGGATCTCATTATAATTTATTTAATCAGAAAATAATTCTGATATCTTGAAACTGGTATACGTTTGCAATATATGAAAGTTATTGGTGCATTCAATAACGGTATTATCCGATATCAGATGTCGGTGTTACATTCACAAATTAATATAAATGATTGGATAATTAGTGATATGGGCCGATGGAAAAATCTCGGCCCGGTCGGTTAGGGCTGACCATTTTATGAATGATTTTGAAAGATTTTGAAAGATATTCAACTTTTTATCGCACTTTAAATATGGATTGGGAGTTATTCAGATTCGATTTGATCATTTTTCTTTGATTTTATAAAGAGATTCATATTCGATGTCTACATTCCGAAGATTCCCGACCGATTATTTCCGGGCCCGCCCGTATCACTAATTGGATAGCAATTCAAATCAAATTTTTTCATTTTTATTGGTCAAACAGAGTATATCGAATAAATCAAATATTTTTTTGCCAATTCAAAGTTTTTCACATGGCCCTTATAAGTCATGTGAAATTTGTAACCATCACATGTCACCAACATATAGATCTTAAAACCGTTTAAAAAGTTATTAATCTTTCTAAGAAGTTTACAAATGTTAATAAGGACTTGGTAATTCCAAGTATAACTCTAGACTGAGCATAAATTGAAACTTAACTTCTGGAGTTAAGTCGGAATCATTAATCAGACGCAATAAATACGTAACATTTTTTGCATTAACATCCTATTGGCTATTTAATCCTATCAGGTAAATATATAAAAAGAAATTTAGGATATATTAATTACATAAATAGGTAAAATAAATAAGACAAATGTAACAATAGTAATTTCATTTTAAATACGTATCGACTAAAAAATGGCAGAACAACTTTCAGATGGTATTGCTCAACTCATCAACAATTTTAATCAATTAAGCTTTGCTAACTGTAAAAAATTAGCAGATAAAGGATATTCTGATGGAATATTTATGCTCGGTTACTGTTATGAACATGGAATTGATGTTGAAAAGAATAAGAATAAAGCATTCACGTATTATCAAAAATTAGCAGATATTAATAATTCTAAAGGAATATTTCAAGTTGGCTTTTGTTATTATAATGGTATTGGTGTTGAAATGAATAAACAGAAAGCATTTGAGTATTACTTAAAATCAGCTGAAATGAATAACTCTAATGGGATCTTTAAAACTGCTATTTGTTATTATTATGGAATTGGCGTGGAAAAGAATAATAGTAAATATAGTGAATGGATCGAAAAGTAAAGATAATTTTTTAATTTTATCATAATTTTTTATTTAAATGTTGCTTATACAATTTCAATTATCAGGGAGTAAGTAATAAGAACATTATACATATTTAATTCGGTAATTCAAAGTTTAAAATATTTCATTTTTTTTTTTTTTGGCTTGTGTAATTTAGCCCGTAAGTATAAAGATGATTTATTAACGTTAATCAGTGGAATTAAAATCGTAAACATAAATACTTATTCATAAATACTTATCTCTAATAATTAATTACCTAATACACTTCAAATAGTGCGTGAGTATAAAGATGACTTATTAACGTTAATCAGTGAAATTAAAATCATGAACATAAATACTTATCTACAATTAATTATCTAATACCCTTCAAATAGTGCGTGAGTATAAAGATGATTTATTAACGCTAATCAGTAGAATTAAAACCATGAATATAAATACTTATTCATCTCTAAATACTTATTTACCTAATACCCTTTAAATCATTTTATTCACATTAAATTAGTCTGTGAGTATAAAGATGATTTATTAACGTTAATCAGTGAAATTAAAATCATGAACATAAATACTTATTCATAAATACTTA